TTCTCCCTCTCCCTCCAGTTGTATTTCGTTCTCCAGAAGTCGACGATGTTCTTCAGAAGGTGAGTGTTAATGCCGTAGTGCTGCTTCACGCCTTCAGGTTTCGTAGCTTGCAAATGCATGTACCCAGTCTCTAGAAGATTAAAGGAAAACTTCTCCGACAAAGGATACACTCTGTGTTCCAATTCTTTGCTGACGATCAGGGAAGGATAGAAACTGCCCAAAAACCACTTCAAGTTTGACAGGGTATTGTGGATAACGCACATATTCGAATGGACCCCTATTATCCTCTCTGGAAAGAGTGTAGACATATGTTGGACTATAACAGCGCCCCAATCGCCGCCTTGGAGGTAGTACTTTTGGTATCCCAATCGAGCCATGAGGTTCTTGAAGACGACAGCCATTTGGATAGCGCCTAACCCTGGTCGAACTGCTGCCTCTGAGAAACCATAGCCTGCAAAGTAAAGGAAAACATCAATATAGAACATATTGTTATAATAATAACTAAATAGAACAATTGCAGATATTAACTTAACTGGTAGGGCTGGTACTATAACCTCAAAAACGAAATCCCTCCCCTTCTCTGGGGTGGTGAGGAGAGGAATAAATTCGTAGAACTCCCTGATCGACCCCGGCCAACCATGGAGCAACAATAAAGGCAATACCTTCACCCCCTGGGTTTCCTTTGGTTTGACATGCAAGTAGTGGATTTTCAATCCCTGTACGCTTACGGTGAACTGGGGATACTGATTGAGGAACTTCTCCCTCTCCCTCCAGTTGTATTTAGTTCGCCAGAAGTCAACGATGTTCTTTAGGAGGTGGGTGTTAATACCATAATGCTGCTTGGCACCTTCCAGAGGCTCCTGGAAAGGTAGCGCGTTGGCCAGCCTTTGCTGCAGGTCTATGAGAATCTGAAAGAAGTTTACTGCCTTTGACTCACATCGCTGATGATTGGACTTCCCGAATTTCCTACATACCTCATCAGAAACATTGATTTTGAAGGGTCTGATCTCAGTATCCTCCTTCGAGGGGTCTCTGGGGCCCCACCAAGTATCTTCTAGCTGAGGTAGAGGCGGTACTTCGAACAGAGATTTCCCTTTCAAGTAAATTCCCACTAACACAACCCCAATCGAGGCTATTACTAACACCCTTGTAACACCCATGTCGGCTCTCGACTAGTACGCTTACTGTACCACTATTTTTTTGCTGTCTATTTGAAGATATGGCAATGACCTTGGCTGGTGCGATATAAGTGTCGAGTTCAAAATACACAACGCGTCATAGCATGAAATCTAAGATAGGAGAATTATCGTTCATGTACGGGATGTTGAAGATATTTAAAGAAACGTGAAGTGGATTGAACTAATGGAACAGCACAACAAAATCTTTTGAGCGTAATTGAAAATAATTTGTAAGATATTTGTTTATTGAGAAAAATATACAAAAACAAACACTATCAACAACAAAACACAGTCATTCATTTGCTGGACTCTCTCAAAGCCTCCACTTTTTCCGTGAAGGCAAAAACGTCTTCAGAGAGGACTTCGGGAGCTTCGAATGCCGCGAAGTGACCTCCCTCGAGATCCGAAATATGAATCAAATTGTTGTATTTGCCTCTTAATACGAAGTCAGGTTGGATAAATAATTCATGAGAAAATCTAGCACAACCACTTGGTACTTGCACTGGTATTCTGAAAAATATTAGTTTTGTATTAGGTCACGAAAGTACCTTCTTATTCGGATAGAGGCATCATTGATTATAATGGAAAAATAAACAAAAGGATAAGTATTAATAACGCACCTGTCTATTGGAATACTGCTCTGAGCTTTATTTGAGGTTTCAGCATAGAGCCTCATCGAGGTAGTAATAGACCTAGACACCCAGTATATCATCACGTTATCCAGAAGATTGGTCAGAGAGTATTTTTTCGTCAGCCCCCCGTCGTCTAGGTCTTTCCAATCTGGGTTTGTCCAGGTCGTGAACTTCTCCAAAATGTAGGCTGCCAAACCCACAGGGCTATCCCTTAATGCAACCCCTAAAAAAATATTTAATAAGTATTAATTAATTTAATTATTTTGAACGTACATACCTACAGTGTCGGGCTTGGTGCACTGTAGATGCATGTACCCAAACTCCAGCATAAAAAAGGAAAACTTCTCCGACAAAGGATACACTCTGTGTTCCAATTCTTTGCTGACGATCAGGGAAGGATAGAAACTGCCCAAAAACCACTTCAAGTTTGACAGGGTATTGTGGATAACGCACATATTCGAATGGACCCCTATTATCCTCTCTGGAAAGAGTGTAGACATATGTTGGACTATAACAGCGCCCCAATCGCCGCCTTGGAGGTAGTACTTTTGGTATCCCAATCGAGCCATGAGGTTCTTGAAGACGACAGCCATTTGGATAGCGCCTAACCCTGGTCCAACTGCTGCCTCTGAGAAACCATAGCCTGCAAAGTGAAGGAATGGTGGTATCTCCAATAAAAAAATGTTTTAATTTTTCATTAGAGAATTTCAAGTAATTCTGCGTTTGGATTTTCATCATTTTGATGAAGAAAACAGAAGAATCAAATGTTTACAGATTTTTTGTGTAGCATTTATGTTAACTTATATTTTAAGAACGAAATAGATTTGGATGGATAAATGAAATGGCATATGTAAACATTAACCTGGTAAGGAAGGAACTATAAGCTCAAAAACGAAATCTCTTCCTTTCTGGGGGGTGGTCAGGAGAGGGATGATCTCGTAGAACTCCCTGATCGACCCAGGCCAGCCATGGAGCAAAAGTAAGGGCAACACCTTCACCCCCTTGGTTTCCTTTGGTTTGACGTGCAAATAGTGGATCCTCAACCCCTGCACGCTCACCGTGAACTGGGGGTACTGATTGAGGAACTTCTCCCTCTCCCTCCAGTTGTATTTCGTTCTCCAGAAGTCGACGATGTTCTTCAGAAGGTGAGTGTTAATGCCGTAGTGCTGCTTCACGCCTTCCAGAGGTTCCTGGAAGGGTAGGGCGTTGGCCAGCCTTTGCTGCAGGTCTTTGAGTATCTGGAAGAAGCTTTTAATGAACATGAACAATTGCGACATATATTCTTTAAATATATAAAATACAATTATTATTATTATTTGTTTATTAATATAATTTTTTTGTTGTTCAATTTCATAAATCATGTAGTTTTTGACGTTTCATCATATTTCTATCAATATTAAATATATTAAAATAGGACAATTTATAGAGTATTATTATAACATTGAGAATTTTATGCAAAAAGTACCTACTTATACATAAGGTGTTTGTAATACAAGAATCAGTTAAATTATAAACAGCTATATAAAAATGTTTATTTAAATTTTATTGGTTGCTATTAACACTACATACTTTTGTTTATCTTTATTTATATCATTTAGATAACGTATCGCATCGATATGACCTGGTAAAAATGAGATTTTGACTGATCATTCGTCAATTCTCGCTTTTAATAATTCATTTTGATAAACCACTGTTAGTAAATGAAAATTACTGAACTGATGAATTTCTTTTTATTTCTAGCAAGAGCTTTGTATGAATAATTATTGAATGTCTTGAGAAAGCAATATAAAGCAAAAGCAACATAATTTGTATCCTTTCTCACTTATGCATACATGAATTCCTGAATCCATACAGTCTTTACATGCCTGAACAAGTAAAGACGTGTTGGAACTTGTCAAGAGGACTAATTTTTACATTCTCTGTACTATTTAAGAAAAGCCGCAGACTAGCTGAAACTCGGTTACTTTTATTTTGTGACAATAAATACTTAACAAATATCCCGCTTATCTTTTGAACTGGAAAATTGTTAAACTAACTCGCTTATCAAAACATTAGACTGCTACTTGTTAATGACAAAATATGCTTTTAATCGAATTGAAAGAAAATTTTGTGTTTTTTACATACGTTTTACATATTACCTCATCAGAAACATTGATTTTGAAGGGCCTAATCTCGCCATCCTCCTTGGATGGGTCTCTAGGACCCCACCAAGTATCTTCTAGCTGAGGTAGAGGCGGTACTTCGAATAGAGATTTCCCTTTCAAGTAAACTGCCATCAATACTACCGCAATCGACGCTATTACTAGCACTTTTGTAACACCCATCTCGAAATGTGCTCGGTTCTCAACTACGGTCTCTCCGTTGTTTATTGAAAGATATATTAACGACCTTGGCGAATATAAAAAATAATATGGTGGGGTGGGAGATAATTGTGTAGTTCAATACATACAGAGCATTATACAGATATCTAGAATAGGATTCCAACCATTTAAATTCGATTGTTTTAGAAGAACCAAACAATAGAAACAATAATAATAATTGTGGNAACACCTTCACCCCCTTGGTTTCCTTTGGTTTGACGTGCAAATAGTGGATCCTCAACCCCTGTACGCTCACCGTGAACTGGGGGTACTGATTAAGGAACTTCTCCCTCTCCCTCCAGTTGTATTTCGTTCTCCAGAAGTCGACGATGTTCTTCAGAAGGTGAGTGTTAATGCCGTAATTCTGCTTCACGCCTTCCAGAGGTTCCTGGAAGGGTAGGGCGTTAGCCAGCCTTTGCTGCAGGTCTTTGAGTATCTGGAAGAAGCTTTTAATGAACAATTGCGACATATATTCTTTAAATATATAAAATAATGTAGTTTTTGACGTTTCATCATATTTCAATCAATATTAAATATATTAAAGAAGGATAATTCATAGAATATCTCTCAAGTATTATTATAACATTGAGAATTTTATGCAAAAAGTACCTACTTATACATAAGGTGTTTGTAATACAAGAATCAGTTAAATTATAAACAGCTATATAAAAATGTTTATTTAAATTTTATTGGTTGCTATTAACACTACATACTTTTGTTTATCTTTATTTATATCATTTAGATAACGTATCGCATCGATATGACCTGGTAAAAATGAGATTTTGACTGATCATTCGTCAATTCTCGCTTTTAATAATTCATTTTGATAAACCACTGTTAGTAAATGAAAATTACTGAACTGATGAATTTCTTTTTATTTCTAGCAAGAGCTTTGTATGAATAATTATTGAATGTCTTGAGAAAGCAATATAAAGCAAAAGCAACATAATTTGTATCCTTTCTCACTTATGCATACATGAATTCCTGAATCCATACAGTCTTTACATGCCTGAACAAGTAAAGACGTGTTGGAACTTGTCAAGAGGACTAATTTTTACATTCTCTGTACTATTTAAGAAAAGCCGCAGACTAGCTGAAACTCGGTTACTTTTATTTTGTGACAATAAATACTTAACAAATATCCCGCTTATCTTTTGAACTGGAAAATTGTTAAACTAACTCGCTTATCAAAACATTAGACTGCTACTTGTTAATGACAAAATATGCTTTTAATCGAATTGAAAGAAAATTTTGTGTTTTTTACATACGTTTTACATATTACCTCATCAGAAACATTGATTTTGAAGGGCCTAATCTCGCCATCCTCCTTGGATGGGTCTCTAGGACCCCACCAAGTATCTTCTAGCTGAGGTAGAGGCGGTACTTCGAATAGAGATTTCCCTTTCAAGTAAACTGCCATCAATACTACCGCAATCGACGCTATTACTAGCACTTTTGTAACACCCATCTCGAAATGTGCTCGGTTCTCAACTACGGTCTCTCCGTTGTTTATTGAAAGATATATTAACGACCTTGGCGAATATAAAAAATAATATGGTGGGGTGGGAGATAATTGTGTAGTTCAATACATACAGAGCATTATACAGATATCTAGAATAGGATTCCAACCACTTAAATTCGATTGTTTTAGAAGAACCAAACAATAGAAACAATAATAATAAAAGTGGTATCCTAGTATGTTTTTGAAAATAAAAATAGAAGAAACAAACATTATCAGCAACAAAACATAGTAAATCATTTGTCGGGATTTTTAATCATTCCGCACATAATAGTCCTTTCTGATAACCATTTATTAAATAAAGAAAATTGAGGGCTAAATATCAGAGATACGTAGCTTGTTGCTTCAATATACTGTTATATTTTGACCTTTAACTTTCATAATATTCGGTTATTGACATCAAATTACCGAGATAATAGAATAAAACAAGTTGAGACTTGTTAGTTGTGTCGCTAATGAAAAATTTGAGACTTTTTTATGGGTCCTATCTTTACAATTTGTAATTTTGTAATTATTTTCAAGTCTCTTTGGGTTACCTCATCAGAAACGTTGATTTTGAAGTGCCTTATCTCGGTATCTTCCCTAGAGGGGTTTCTAGGGCCCCACCAGGTATCTTCTAGCTGAGGCAGGGGCGGTACTTCGAATAAAAATTTCGTTTTCATGTAAGCTGCCACTAAGACAAACGCGATCGACGCTATTACTAGCACTCTTGTAACACCCGTCTCGAAATTTGCTCGACTCACAACAACTACGCTTAACTTTACTGATCATTTTTATGTTGTATATTTGGAGATATAATAACTACCTTGGCCAAATGATTTGGCGGGGTATACATATATAGATTTCAAGACACCGCTATCCATATGGAGTATGTAAAGTGGGAAAAGTGTTGTTGTTTGCAACAGGGTGTGGTAAAATATCTACCACTGATTTATTTATCATAGAAAATATTGTATTGTTTTAGTAATTTATAGAATATTTAGAAACAAACCTAGTTTCTATAAATTGCGCAAGAAATGTTCCAATTTTGACGAATTTTAGTGATAACTGAAATTCGAAAAAAATTTGTAGGAGATTAATTTATTGAAAAATAACAACATTAAAAACTATTTGCTACTTTGCAACGTTTCGAGTTTATCAATGAACGCATATACATCATCAGCCAGAGTCTTAGGAACTTCGAACGCGGCGAAATGGCCCCCCTCCAGATCCGAAATGTGGATGAGATTCTTGAATTTATCTCGAAGTATACTTTCCGGATGGATAAGTAAATCCTTGGAAAATCTGGCACAGGCGCTTGGAACTCTCACTGGTACGTTGTTCAAACAGCTGACCAAAACCAAAAAAATAATTAGATTGATAACTTTATTAACATTAACACATACTTCTCTAATTGCGAATCATAGCTGGCCTGGTTGAAGGTCTCAGAATACAATCTCATCGACGTGGTAATAGATCTCGTCACCCAGTATATCATCACGTTATCCAGAAGGTTGGTCAGAGAGAACTTTTTCGTCAGTCCTCCGTCGTCTAAGTCCTTCCAAGCGAGATTTGTCCAGGTCGTAAATTTCTCCAGGATGTAGGCTGCCAAACCCACAGGACTGTCTCTTAATGCGACACCTTAAAAATTTAATATAAATTCGCTTTCTCGTGAGATTAACCTAAAAATCTAAAGTACTTAATGACCTGAAATAAATATATCAAGGTCACTAAACCTTTGGCGCAAAAGATTCTTACACTCGCAAGATGTGAAACGTACTGTCTCAATATTTATTTTACATCTGTAGTACCCCAAGGATCATATTTAGGGCCACTTCTTATTATTCTATTTATTAATAATTTATCTCTGTCTCTTGTTATTGCAAAAAGACAAGAAAAGTGCCCATTTTTTAATTTGTTTATAACTATCGCATTTATTGTTAAAATTTTATAAAACCTATGACATGTTGAAGGTTTTGTCATACTTTAAAAGTNTTAAATTAAAATCGGTTAATAAACAAAAAAGTTATTGCAAAAAAACAAGAAAAGTGTCAATTTTTTAATTTGTTTATAACTATCGCATTTATTGTTAAAATTTTATAAAACCTATGACAAGTTGAGGGATTTGTCATACTTTAAAAGTGTGCCAAAAGTGGGCGCTGTAGGTGCAATAGTTTTCGCACAATTCTATTTGTTTATAGCGGAGGCTCCAAAAGTTATGTACTTTAAGCCTCTGTACAGACGTTAATTTTCAATCAAACATGATTCTGAAAGCGTCATTGTAATCTTAAAGACGTAATTAAGCGACCTATTAAAATATATCACCGTTGTTTTGACACTAACTAAAATTGTTAATTTGTTTATATGTGTTATTATTAATTAGATATTTCAAAATATTCACCTTATAAAGATGGACATGAACGATATCATAAGTGTGTTGTGATGGCTCAGAGCGTACCGCGTTGTACTGTCACGCGGTGGTCCCGGGTTAGATCCCCGATACAGTTATGACTTTCTTTCAATTAATATTTATTTCAAATAACAACATGAAAATTAAAATCGAAACAATTTTATAAGCTTTTCAAGTTAGGAGAAATTTTAAACACCGCAC